TAGAATAATTAAGCAAGAGTGTCGGTAGCTAGTGTATCAGTATGAATACCGGTCATCAAATCATAAAATGAAATAAGTGTACACTGATAATCAATAAAATAATCATATTGGTGGTAGTACATGATTACTTTTAATGTTCACATTTACATATCAACAGAAATATATTTATTTACCTGCTTAATCTTTGAAAAAATGAAACCAATAAAAGAATCAATCAAAATCAATCAAATTCTGAAAAAGAAATTATTTTCAAGATTTTCCCAATATTTATTATGCCTCCGTAAACGAAGTTTCGGGGGTATATAGTTTTTGTCGTGTCCGTCCGTCTGTCTGTCTGTCTCTCTGTCTGTCTGTCTAGCTGTCTTTCTGTCTGTCTGTCTGTTTTCTGTTTGTCCGCAAGAACTTTAACCTTGCCTATAACTTTTGATTTAGTGGAGCTATGACATTCCTATTTCACATGTGTATTCCTTGTGACAAGACCTTTCTTTGGGTACCACCAAATTTGACCTTTTGACCTTGGAGTTTGACCCTTTGTAACACAAAAATTTTGAACTTTTACTTTGGCCACAACTTTTGAACAATAGATACCAGGACATTTATATTTGACAGATGTATTTTTTGTGGAAAGTCCTTTCATTGGATACCAACAACCTTAACCTTTTGACCTTGACCTTGGAGATTTCCGTACCTATAAAAAAACTTTAACAATGGCTATAACTTTTGAACAATAAGTGTTAAGGCTTTCATCCTTCACATATATAATTCTGATGAAAAGACCTTCTATTAGATACCAAGAAACTTGACCCTTTGACCTTGACCTTGGAGTTTGATCTACTTTAAAAATACAACATTGACCAAAATTTTTGAAGAGTTCGGACTAGGGCATTCATACTTCACAAATTTAATCCTTGTGACAAGACCTTTCATTTGATATCAAGAACCTTGACCCTTTGACCTTAACCTTGGAGTTTGACTTACTTTTTACAAATTTTAACCTTGACCATAACTTTTGAACAGTAGGGGCTAGAGCTTTAATATTTCACATGTGTAATCCTTGTGACAATTAAGACCTTTCTTTGGATATCAAGAATCTTGACCCTTTGACCTTGACCTTAGGTTTTGACCACTTTTTACAAACTTTGACCTACTTTTTTAACTACTCTTTACAAACTTTAACTTTGGCCATAGCTTTTGAACGGTAAGGGCCAGCGCTTTTATACTCCCCATACGTTATCTTTGAGACAAGGCCTTTCTTTAGAACCCAACAACCTTGACCCTTTGACATTGACCCGGAGTTTGTCCTATATTATAAAATGTTAACCTTAGCCATAACCCTGGAACAGGTGTAGCTAGCGTTTTATATTTCGCATTTCTTGTGAAAAGGCCTTACTTTGGTACCAACATATTTGATCTGCATTTGAGAAAGCTTAACCTTCATGTTGCCATACGGGGCATCAGTGTTTCACAAACACATCTTGTTATAATTTACAATTGATGTAATGGTATCACCAAAAGCAAACACGATAATTTCAGAATTATTAAACTCATTGACCAACTTAGTTCAAAGAAATATATCGATATGTTTAATAATGAAAAGATTGCTCTAGAATTGATCTTTAAATCACGGGTTCGAATTCCACTATGGGAGGTAGATACCGGTCCTTTGGATGAGACCGTATAAACCGAGGTTTCGTGTCATCACAGTAGGTCTTGGCATACATGTAATATATCCTTTACTGTTGAAAGACCATAAGTACAGGGTACAGGTCCAAGTTTACAGTCTTTCATCGGTGGCGTCTCAATATGAGCCAAAAAAGTAACAATCTTGAAAAAAATACCTCCTGACCCCGACGTGATTCGAACGCGCAACCTTCTGATCTGGAGTCAGACGCGCTACCGTTGCGCCACGAAGTCGTGGTGTTTTAATCCTAACTTTCGCTGGCAATACTGGTGTTTAAAATTTCGATTTCACTGGCAATACTCGTAGGTAATATGTATTTTATTGATTATATACATTAATTAACGAAACAGGTGTTTTCATAAGTAATATACAATAAGTTCGTAATACTCCTGACATTAATGCTCAATGTATATAATATAAAAAAAAGTATTCCTTAGATCTTCACCTTTTACTACAAAAACTCATTAACCATACGCATATTGAAGTTATTTAAAATATTGTTCTGTTATTATACCCCCCGCTTGAAAAGCGGGAGGGTACTGTAAACCAATTATTATACGCGTCATTTTTTATTCGCGAATGACCGCTAGAGAACTAATCCGCGACGATTTATTTCCGCGAACAAGTGGTCATATTTTTTTTTTATTTCCACAAGTATTTTTTGTATCTAATTAAAATTTTATATCCGCCCATAAACTATACGTAAAATGCTACCGTGAGTACTGCTTACGCATTATCATTCAAGAAATTCTGTGCATTGCGTCCATTTAAAATCTTATATCCGCACCTAAATTAGGTAAAATGTTACCATGAGTATACTTCTTACGCATTAATCACGACACTCAAATGAAAATCGGGGAAAAAAATCGAGATTAAAGTTGATTTCAAACTCTCAGGTGTAAAAGTACCTCATGCTAATTGGGTAATTGACTCTTTACAAGATCTACATAGCCAAAGGGCAATTATTAAAAATGGTTGGGGCGGAGCGGATATTTATCGCACGCGTATAATACTTGGTTTACAGTATATAGTGATCGGGATTTCCGTCCGTCCGTCCGTCTGTACGTCCGTCCGTCTGTTACGCTTTTTCTCTTATCCGCAACTCCTCATATACTACTGAGTGAAATTTAATGAAACTTTCACAGAATCTTTATTACATATTGCCATCGTGCACCTCCAATTTTACTTTTTTATTCGACACGTATTTTAAGGTTTCCCAGAGCAAAACATGGACATTGCCATTTTTTGTTTACCTATGACATCACATAATAGAAGCTTCTGGATAACATTTGATAGGACGAGTTATTCCTCTTTACACATTACCGTAAAACAATACATCGACATTATGGGAGGTGGGGGGTAACTCGTCCTATCAAATGTTATCCAGAAGCTTCTATACATATGACGTCGTAGGTAAAGATATAATGTTATCCAGAAGCTTCTATACATATGACGTCATAGGTAAAGATATAATGGCAATGTCCATGTTTTTGCTATGGGAGACCTAAAATACGTGTGGAATAAAAAAGTAAAATAGGAGATGCACAATGTCAATATATAATAAAGATTCTGTGAAAGTTTCATTAAATTTCACTCAGTAGGGCCATCCTTAAAAAATTTTTTTTTTTGCGGTAACGCGCCTCATCATTTTAGGTGTGGGTAGGTAGGTAGGCTTATTTTTTTTTTTTTTTGGAGACAAAAAGTCAGAATTAAATTTCGATTATATAGAGGTATTAACTATGTCTTAGACTTCACTTTAAGTTACTAATCAAACAAGAAAATTAAGGCATTCTTAATGAATCCAATCTTTTATTGTTCAAATATCAGAACACATCAGTTCTTTTTTAAAAACGGTGTCTACAGGTGCAATGGGGACGTAAAAAAATGTCAATAGGATAAAATTAGAAAATGGATATGTAAAAAAAAAAAAAAAAAAAAAATTTTTTTTTTAACCCATAAAAAAAATCCAGTAGGGTGGATTTTAATGAGTCGGTCGCGTTACCGCAAAAAAACAATTTTTTAAGGATGGCCTAGTATAAGAGGAGTTGCGGATAAGAGATAAAGCGTAACAGACGGACGGACGGACGGACGGACGGACGGAAATCCCGATTACTATATATCCCCACTTTTCAAGCGGGGGGTATAATAAAGGACAGAGAGCTACAAAGCCACCCATTGAAAATTAATTGACTATTTCTCTACTTATTTCTCTTGTCTGTCATTTTTTCGGGGGATGGGGGGGCTACATTTCTGCAGCTTTAAGAACACTAACTCATATTTATAAGCAAAGTCCAAGAAACCTTAGTCGATAAGAAACGACTCCTGCATTTTACTCCTCTCTGTCTTTTGCTTCATTTTCTTGTAACTTGTCCCTAACCTTCAAACATGGAAGTTTTGAGCTTATGGACAACATTCAAACTCTTTCAATGTTACTTTATCCTAAATATTTCTCCAATATGTATTCTATAAAAGTACTTTCTAGTTTGCAATTTGCAGTTTGTATGGACACAAATATGCTGATCCAAAAAATGAATTAAAAAAATAATCAAATGAACTACATTTGTTTTATTTTACACAAGTTATGTTTATTCCTTGCAAAATCTGAACTCTATTGTAGTAGAACTAAAATGAACAATTTTAGTTTTCACATTTAGATTTCAAATTGAGAGCAAAAATGCACATGTATATTGAACTATTTGTTTTATTTAACACAAGTCATATTTTATTCCTTGCAAAGTTTGAACACTATTGTAGCAGAACTGTAATTAACAATTTTAGATTTTTACATTGAGAGCAAAAATGCAAATATACTTCAAATCACAAATGAAACATGTATTTACAAAAATGATTTTTAAAGGTGGATTTCAGTGATATTTACCCCGTGAACAATAAAAAACTTCCAAAATCAGAATTAGTTCAAAAAGGATCAAGTTTATGTCTCTACCTGAGTTTATGAATGTGAAACACGAGCTCTTAAAAAGAAGTTTGCTTAACTATCCATCATTTATCTTTAAATATTCCATTTACATGTATTTCGAATTGAGAACAAATTATATATTAAGCAGTATTACATGTGATACAAAACCTAATATTAACAATGCCTCTAGCTATAGTTTCCTTATCATAATAAGTGAAACATGATATGATATGCAAGTAAGGTCTTAAATATAGATATTTTCACAATACATAAAATCTAAAAAGAATTAATATCATTCCCCATCTGTGGCAATATTTCTAAACATGTAGCAACTACAAATATAATATTTACAGCGATTAAATATTATTACCAAAAAATATATATCAAAATTACCCCCCCCCCCTATTTAGTAAATGTCATGTGTGTATGGCAAGAGAAAAGCGATCTGGGGTATAATTTGAAAGATATCTGAGTTTTCATGTGATTTATTTGTTGTTGTAATATTCAAGAACATTATTTTAAAGGTTCTACTTAAAAAAGTTAATGATGATTTTTTTTTTTCAAGATAAAAAAACCCACATGTATGTTATAAGGTCCATATGCCTGTGCCTGTGATACTTTTCTATATGAAAAAAATATGCATATTAAAAAAGACGAATTAAAAAGAATACAAATTTTCATGTAAAAAGTACAACAATTATAAGTAAACTTGGAAAAATAATCATAAATAAATCAATAAAATTGCCCTATCATATATTGGTCCCCATTTACATTAAAAAAAAAAATCAGAACAGACGTCAATAATTCTACTAAACATCTTTTGATTTATATGAAGAGAGCAACCATCCAGAATTATATACTATCACAGACTAACACCCACCCTTTCCATCTTAAATGCCATCTTATGATTGGAAGAACTCAGGAAGCCTGACATAATTTAACTGTACATTTTATTCACTTGTCAGAAGTTTGTGTCATTTTTAAAAATATTTTTAAAAAACATTGTCCTAATATTTTTCTATAGAAATCTGTGTCATAACTTAGTGAGCTTTAAAAAATTTGCACCGACATGAGACAAAAGGACAACTGACTAGACTGTACAATCTGAAACTGCATGTGACCACTTATACATGTACATGTATATAACTGGAAAATTAAAAAAAAATCCAAACAATTTCAAGAACATGAAAAAATAATTGCATCAAACAAGCACTTTCATGTACTCTGTTCTTAGCTACAGATACCCTGTAAATTTTCTAAAATATATGAATATATCCATGGGTTATAGACATGCAAAGGTATAGTATCCCTCGTACCGCGGTTACCATAGTGATACAAAAATACATTTAAACCTCATCATTGTTTGATTTTATCTCTCAAACAAAACTTCTAACACTGGGTCCTTTGTTAAGAGAGATAACTTTAAAAAATTATAATGCATCAACGATACTTTATCTCATTTGTCCAGTAAAGAATACAAGAATTAATTAATTTATGTTTTCTCATAGAAAATTCAAATCAATGCTAGGAAGTTAAGTTATATGTTATTTTTAAAATTTTAACCTCAGTACCTGATGAATATAATGCAATTTACATCTGTTACTAACACTCCCAATGATTTTTATTTTTATCAGATTTTAACTAAAAACCAGATCTACTTGAACTCACAACAGTGTAAAGGCACACTCCTGAAGGTAGTATTAGCAAACAATTCTAATAAACTACTGATAGCTAGAATATCTTCTTCTATACTAATTGTCAGATGTTTCTTAAAAAGCAAAGCGTTAAAAGGCTAAGTCACAACATTTATAAAATCAGGTATTACTGACTCTACAACTATAACATTTTTAACATAAAAGTATATATAAAGTGGTCATATATTCAGGTGAAAAATATATAAAAGCTTGCAGCTTGACAATGCATTAAACTATGTCCTTAAATATCTGCCAAACAAATACATGCAAGCCACCTTTGATAAGTTCATTGAACTAACTACATCAGAAAGTTAGATAAGAGTAAGTTTTTCTTGTCTACAACCACTGAATTCTCTTGCATGTTGTTCTTGGAATGTGTGATATCCTCTAAGGTAATATAATTTGAGGTCCTCTATTTGTCCTCTGAGGTAATCAGATGTCTTCTCGGAGTTGTGAGTACGGCTGTGAGCGTGATTTACTTGTCCTCCCACTCTGGCCTCGGTAAAACTCCTCCTCCTCTCGAGCTGTGATGGCCACCAGCTCGTCTTCAGGTATACTGCTGAAGTTGATGCCTTCATGATCATCTTTAAGCTCCACGGTCCAGAACGGCCGGGCTGCTGGGTAGTTCCAGCATCGCTTGTAGATGATGATTCCAGCGATGATTCCGATGAAGATGATGACACCTACACATATTCCTGCAATCACTCCAGAACTCAGGGAACTCTTCTCCGCTTGCATTCGAAGTTCTACAAAAAAACATTTTATCTGAAAATCTTTTGTTTCTTTCAGGCTGAGAAAATGTAAGCATCTTATATATCATATTTGTTTAAAATGGCAGAATCCAGTTGTTAGACAAAATAAGTACATCTTCAATGGGCAAGAACTCTCTAAAATGCTTGCAATCTTAAAAGTTAACATCAGGCACATAACTGTTAAAATAGCTGTTTCTATCATATGTAACAAAAAACCTTTTTTTTTCAAAACCTAACAGCATCATATGGAGAGGGAAAGCATTTCACTAAAACCTGGGTTAAGGATGCTGACTTACTTGATGGATCTACACACTTTGGATGTTTATGACCCTGAGCATTACCGACATACCCATGAGCACACCTGTTACAATTGAACCCTGCTGTGTGGCTCATACAGCCAATGCATTCTCCTAAAAAAACATACAGAAGTATATCAGGTCATTTAAATCAGAGTGACATTAATTTCTTCACCAACAGTGTCAGGTAGTTCTAGATCTGTCTCGAAAATGAACTGATAAATGTTACTATTTCAATTACATGTACTGGTATTTCACTTTTAGATATCGATGCTGAAAATTTCTCAAATAAATTACAAATTATAAATAACAAGTATTTTAAGGTAGCAGTAAATAAGGTTTTATTGCATGTCAATACAGTGCTAATGCTTTGAATATATTATACATGTACTATAGTATATAAATGTATACTTTATTATATATAAATGTACTCAGCTCTGCACATAGAAAAGATTTAACTGGGTAGCAGTTCGCTTAGAATTTACTGAAGGATATGCCTTGGGGTATAGCAAACATATAACAGACTAGATACGATCTCGTTGCGAGCAACGAGTGGGTCTTCCGTCCAATTCTTGATGAGATAAGAAAAGATTTTGATTGCGATTTTTTATTTTAAAATAATGATTTACCACAATCTGTAAAAAGATATTGAACATTAAAGACTTTAAAAAACTGGCCTTTTGTCCCTTACGCCCCCTAATTTTAGGAATCAGTCCTTTTTATTCAAATCATCTTAAAGATCTTAAAATTTTGTACATTTTGTGTTCAACAACTATTCAGATATTCTTTTTCGTTTTTGAGATATTAGCAAAAGAAATATTTAAGGGGGCAAACCTTCAACTCCTTAATGGGGACGTTAAGCAAAAAATAAAAGGTTGCATATTGTTCAGAACATTATTTCGAACATCTTTTGTTCAATATTGCTTATCAAAATATTTCTCCCTTTCGGGATATAAAGCATCAAAGATTTTGCATTCTTTTTGTGGCCCCTAATTATGTACCATGCGACATGAAAATCATAATATATAGTTGTAGATGGTTGAGATAAACATCTTTGCTTCAGTAATGTATTTCAAAATATTAACTGATAAAGAGTTATCGATTGAAGATTTTTGGCCCCTCTTGGCCCCTAATTTGAGTGCCCAGCCCCTTTTTCGGGATCTCATCTTAAAGATCTTAAGATTTTGAACATATAGTGTTCAACAACTGTTCAGAAATTCTTTTTCGTTTTTGAGCTATTAGCAAAAGAAATATTTAGGGGCCAACCCTTCAACTCCTTAATGGGGACGTTAAGCAAAAAATGAAAAGTTGCATACTGTTTAGAACATTATTTTGAACAACTTTTGTTCAATATTGCTTATCAAAATATTTCTCCCTTTTGAGATATAAAGCATCAAAGATTTAGCATTCTGGCCCCTTGTGACCCCTAATTATGTACCATGCGACATGAAAATCATAATATATAGTTGTAGATGGTTGAGATAAACATCTTTGCTTCAGTAATGTATTACAAAATATTAACTGAAAAAGAGTTATCGATTGAAGACTTTTGGCCCCTCTTGGCCCCTAATTTGAGTGCCCAGCCCCTTTTTCTTGATCTCATCTTAAAGCTCTTAGGATTTTGAACATTTTTTGTTCAATACCTATTCAGAGATTCTTTTTCGTGTTCGAGTTATTAGCAAAGGAAATATTTAGGGGTCAGCCCTTCAACTCCTTAATGGGGACGTTAAGCAAAAATTTAAATGTTGCATGTTGTTTAGAACATTATTTTGAACATCTTTTGTTCAATATTACTTATCAAAATATGTCCCATTTTTGAGATATAAAGTGTCAAAGATTTAGCATTCTGGCCCCTTGTGGCCCCTAATTATGTAACATATGAAATTAAAATCATAATATACAGTTGTAGATTGTTAAGATGAATATTTTTGCTTCAATATTGTATAACAAAATATTGATCATTTAAGAGTTATTGAAAAAAGACTTTTAGCCCCTTTTGGTCCGTAATGTGATGAGTCAGCACTTTTTCATAGATATCATTTTAAGGATCTTGTCATTCTGCACAAATTTTGTTCAATATGTTATTACAAAATAATTATACTTTAAAAGATTTGATGCAAAATGTCTTAAAAAATCAGTCATGATTCGAGTCCTAAATTTTGACCCCTACCGAGCCTCCATACTAGGCACTTCCGGAAAATATCATGACCCAGGTGCAACATGGCAACATGTCCTCTATCATTCCTGAAAATTTCAGCTTTCTAGCTTGAGCCGTTTTTGAGTAACGCGACAGACACGGAGGTCCTCTAAATTTCGATCAAAGGGCGATAACTCTCGACTGAAAAGGAATTTCCAAAAAAGGACTTGCCGGAATTAACTTCAGATGTCAATGCATCAACCATGAAAATTTGGATAAAATCGGTCAAGCCATCTCCGAGAAATCCTCTGCACAAATTTTGTAAGAAGAAAAAAGAAGAAAAATAATAAAGGGGAAAAAGAAACCGAAGAATAATAGAAGGGTCTTCCGCTGAAGACGGAAGACCCTAAAAATAGAGTTACACACTCTCATTACACTGTCTACTCAGTCTGTACACTACCTGTGCTATCTTGACAGAACTGTGCATTTCCGTGGCAGTTGCACTGGGTACATCTTGTGCTCATATGAGGCCTATAGTAACCTGCAGCACAGGCCTGACACAGATTGCCCCCATATCCCTCCTTACAAGTGTCACAAAACAGGTACCCCTCCTCTGAAGCAAAAATATACACCTGTTACATGTAATTTAATACTTTTTGTTTGAGAGACACAGAAAGAGTTCAGTTTAACTTTTTTTAAATAAATATTGTTCCATTTCAACTTTTCCTCAACATTTAAAGCTATTTTTAATACTTACTATTATTATTTTTTTTAAAAAGGAAATTTAACTTTAACACTGCATCCAGGACAAGTAAATAAAAAATTTACATTTCAATACCTTTAAATACATTTAAAGGACATGTACCACCAGCAGGTGTAAAATTAGACACATTCAAAATAGAATCAGAATTAGACACATTCAAAATAGAATCAGAATTAGACACATTCACAATAGAATCAGAATTAGACACATTCACAATAGAATCAGAATTAGACACATTCACAATAGAATCAGAATTAGACACATTCACAATAGAATCTGAACATCTGTCTTTATATTTTCTTAGTTATGAGTGACTTTTCAACATATCATTTACAGTGTCACAAAACACGATAATTTTTTACCGAAATGACAATTTCCGTCACTCCTTTTTGCATCACATGGGCACCTGAAGCAGGGCAAGTTGGGAGCCAGGCGGTAATATCCAGGTCTACAGATCTGACAGTACATCCCTGAGTAGCCCTCCTTACAATCACAAAGGGACAGGGTCAGGGTTCCGAAAATGGTGTGTCTTACACTCAGAAGTGCCGACTTAGTTCCCATTTTATCACAGCGACAATATTCTACATAGAGAGAGGAAGACATTTCTTTACATAAATCGTTAAAAACTAGACTTCAAATAGAATTTATCACTATTGCAAAGAATTTTCATTAAAATTTAATTAAAAATGTCCTTGATATTTATGAATGTTAAAGACTTTTTTTACATTATTTTCTCTATACTATAAATATTCTCTAAATAAAACATAAATGTTCTCTAAATTAATAGGATTTATTATGAACTAGTTTATTATTTTCAACTAATAGTATTGCATGCCATTTTTGGTAATTCTGAACACCTTCTTCAAAAGGACTTATATAGGCCATGCCTGATATCCAATCCAATTAGGTAATTTGATTTAAAATTATAAAATATTGTTTAAATTGAATTAATTTTTCTCTATAAGGATTGTAATATGTGTTGCCAGCTAACCATATATATTCTTCATATCCTCTGTATGAATCAGGGAGTAGTTCTTGTTGGTTTTGATGGAGAGCTCCTCGCTTTTGAGGGCAGTGAAGGAGTAGTACAGGACCTGGACATAGATTCTGTAGTCTGTCTCTGCTCTCAGGCCCTTGATGTGGTAGGCCAGTTTATCTGGTTTCACAGTGTAATTCTGTTCCTCACCTTGTAGTAAAGAGAGATCATCAATTTAAAAAAAAAACAAGAGATGTTTGTAAAACACTTATGCCCCCCTTCCCCACAAATTGGAATTTTTCTAAGTCCAAAAGGGCATAACTCTGTCAAAAATGGCGTCATCATACCCAAAACAGAACTTGACTAAATATTCATCTGACTAAGGCCATTCCAAGTTTTTTCTATGTTTAGCGTCCGCATGCGCCTTATCACATATAGAAGTCATATAAGACTTCTGATATGCCCAATATCAGAAAAAACAAACAAAATCACAAGACCCTATAGCCTATTGATTATTCTGGTCGAAATCTTTGAATTCTATCATGTCCTGTTATAATCTGTCTACAATTTTTCATATTTGGTATATTTTGAGCACTTAGTACATGGATTTTGCTGAAGTATAGATCTAGAAAAGAGAAAAAATATTTTTTTGAAATCAAATCCTTTGAAAGACGTTACTTTTATGACTATAAAGTCTGTGTTTCCTTTTTTGGTCTGTTAGTTTTTTGCGAATAGGTAGGTAGGTTTTTGAAAGATGGGTGGACGCTAAACATAGAAAAGACTTGGAATGGCCTAATCTGTATACTTAATTCCATTTCAATATGTGCAACCTCTCCAAAAAAAAATGAATGTAAACTGCAAATAGTTGGAATTTTTCTAAGTCCAAGGGGCATAACTCTGTCAAAATTTCAACAAGAGGCCCATGGGCCACATTGCTCACCTGAGCACTATGGCTAGGAAAAAATTAGAAATTGGTTTATTATTGAAAAGTTTAAATCCTAAAGTAAACCTTTGACCACTTAAGGTTTTGCTATTCTTGAGAAAATGATTTTTAAAGAATTTTCCTATATATTTCTATGTAAAAACTTTGGTCAGCCATTGTGGCCCCGCCCTACCCCCAGGGGTCATGTTTTGAACAAATTTGAATCTATACTACCTGAGGATGCTTCCATATAAATATGATCAATTATGGCTTTGTTATTCTTGAGAAGATGATTTTTAAAGAATTTTCCTATATATTTCTTTTTAAAAGAATTGAACAATCTATACTACCTGAGGATGCTTCCATATAAATATGATCAATTATGGCCAAGAAAATGATTTTTAAAGCTATATATGTGGCAAGTTTGAGCAAACTTGAATCTATACTACCTGAGGATGCTTCCATATAAATATGATCAATTATGGCTTTGTTGTTGTTGAGAAGATGATTTTTAATGAATTTTCCTATATATTTCTATGTAAAACTTTGGTCGGCCATTGTGGCCCGCCCTACCCCCGGGGTCATGATTTGAACAAACTTGAATCTACACTACCTGAGGATGTTAACCCATAAGTTTCATCTTTCCTGGCACAGTGGTTCTTGAGAAGAAGATTTTCAAAACATACCACCAAATTTTCATTAATTCCCAATTATCTCCCCTTGAATGAGGGTGTGGCCCTTCATTTGAACAAACTTGAATCCCCTTCACCCAAGGATACTTTGTACCAAGTTTGGTTGAAATTGGCTCAGCGGTTTTTGAGAAGAAGTCGAAAATGTGAAAAGTTTACAGACAGACAGACGGCCAGACAAAATGTGATCAGAAAAGCTCACTTGAGCCTTCGGCTCAGGTGAGCTAAAAATGGTGCTATCATACCCAAAACAGAACTTGACCTAGATATTCATCTGATATACCTGTATACCAAATTTCATTTCAGTATGTGCAACAGTTGTGAAGAAAATGAACGGAAACTAAATGGACCAACAGACAGCAGCAAAGCAATATGCCCTCCCTTCTTTGAAGGGGGGTATAAAAATAAATATCAGACTGCATTAGCATTTTAGCTCACTTCTTTAACAGAATAGGGCTTTTATCTTCACCTTCTGTTTATTGTTTTTTTTAAATACTAATCTTCACAATTATCAGCTTTCATGCAAGTCAACAGCTAATATTTTAAAATTTGTCAGTGATTGATATTTTGGAATGGAAATAATTCAAACATTTTACCATTTTAACCTGGAAAATATTACTAAATTTTCTGTATATAAATTTTGCAATTAAGTTAATATGTATATAGTTTAAAGTAAAACAATAATGCAAGTTTATCATGTATGGTTCTAATAGGTAGCTTTAAATTTCCTCACCGATTTCTGTTCCATTATCCATTTCTTGCCAAAAAATGGTATACCATAATATCCCAGCATGCTCCTTGGGAACTGTAGTTTTCTGGAACCAGTCGGGAATATGTGATATATTTTTGCTCTTTAGATATTGCTTGTATTTTTCCACCTGCTCAGTAGTTAAATTTGCTTGATCAATATGGTCAGTGAGTGATTGATTTGTCTTCTCTACTTTCTGTGAGCTTTTTAATTCACTTTCATGATCTTGAGCAGAAATCCCAGAAAAAGAAAACAATTTAAAAATCCAATCTTGCTCCCTTTCTGTTTCACTTCCTTTTTCGATCCATGAACCTGAATCAGAGAAGTGAATGTTGTCTTTGTTGCGGATGTTGTACACCTGATTCTTTGTAAGGTTTTCTGGCTGGTGGGTGGGATAATTCTGGGGAGGGTTCCAATAGAAATAAACATCCCCATCTCCAATGTAAAAAGTGCTTAAATTGTTTGGAGGATGAAGAACTACATAACCTGTAAAACAAAGATGAATAATATTTTCAGCAAAACCAATGTTCATTCAATTAAAATGAACAAGTTTATCAAACAGTTTTATCTTTAAATTAACTACTTGTTTATCAATAATTTCTATAAAAAAAATAAATGAAAATTGTTTAGTTTCGCATGTTTTGGCCTAGATCTATATAAAAATATACCAAAATTAAATTGCATCCAGTTTTTAGTTTGTACATGTACATGAACCATGTGTTAGCAAAGGGAATCAAAAAGATGGCACAAGAACAAAATTTGCTCTGTTACAATTTAAAAACACCTTTAAACAACAGTGCTTTGCACCCACAAGAAAAAAAAGCTTGGCCATTTGTCAATGGTATTGCCTAAGGTCAAAATTACATGAAGAGTTCAGTGTCCATGTATATAATTATGCATGTTATGAATGAAAATAGTTATAAAATAGAAAAAGTCTTAGCCTTAAGCTTTTTGCTGGATACTTTTAGAACTCTACACTATATTTGCAATATGTCTAACTAACTTGCATGCACTGGATGAATTATCCAATATTTCTATGTCAAATAGTTATACAATGATTTTTGTGTAGTTATAATTTACAGATATAAATCTTAATTATTCAATAATATGTCATTAAAACATAAAATTTTAACAGAAATTAAATATAATACATGCTACACAGCTGAAACATAAGCATCATTGAACAAGTGTACATTACATGTACATAGCATCGATAGCTCAGCTGCTCAGTACACACACAAATAACTAGAGTAGATCCACCTGACCAGGGTCCGCCGTCATTAAACCTTGAGAATTCTCAAAAAAATTCTCAACTCTCGTCTTGAGAATAACCCACCTGAGAATTTGAGAATAAAACAGAGTTTGAGGAATTTTTATTTTTCTCAACTTTTTATGATGGCCGTTGAGTCTGAGAATTTTGGATTTGAGAAAATTCTCAGACTCGAGAAAATTCTCAGACTTATGTATGTTTTAAACTTTTATGACAACGGACCCAGAGGCTGACAGTGTTTTAATAAACCTCAACTTCTATCTCACTTTTCTTTTAAAAAGTTAAATAAAATAATAAAGACATAAAACATAACATGATTATACACATGTGCATTCCATTATATCATCTTTAAAAATAAACAGCACATCTTCATAATAAATGCGACTCACCTGGTATTGGATTGTCTTTGTCTGGTAAACCTAGACATGCATTCCAAGTCAGCAGCAGAAAGACCGAAAGGCGTAAAATAAAAACATCCATATTTTTTCGTTCCTTACATATTCTCGCTCTTTGTGATATTAATAAGCAGTAGGTGACAAAATTGGACGGAACAGGTAAGTTGACTTTTCACTGCTCCAGGTAAAAATTCCTGATTGGTCTTTTCTTGATTTCTTACATAAAGAGAGTTCCGTTCAAAGGGCAATAACTCTAAAATTTATTTTATTAAAAGAATCAACTAATCATGTTAACTTGTTCAATTGTTAAATTCTTGTTGTACTAACATACCCCATGTAGGGGCTTTAGTGAAATAAAAAGTTTCAAAGTTTTTCAAGTTTTAAAATAATAGAAGGTGTGCTTTATTTCAAAATATAGTGATTAATAAATAAAAAATAACACATATTGTTAATAAGAAAATTATCAATAAGTGATTTTAAATTATTTTAAATTATTTTAATTTGATTATTTACATTTCTTTTAAATGAACAACTTTAATATTTTAAGTTCAAGCTTACTGAGCATATATTATACATGTAGATGGAAAATTATCCAATTTACAGTAGGCCCTACATTATTAATTGAATTGACATCTAACATGCAATTATGAGTGAATAAATAATATTAGATAGAAATCTGAGTTACAATTTAAAAAAAAATGCGCACAGTTGTAACCGGCAATATTTTAAAAGATACATGTATGTATTCATCAAACACTTTAATTTTTTACCTGTGTAACTTTGTGGGGCAAGATAAACTTAAACCTATTTTTTCTTTACATTTTATATAAAGGATGAAAAAAAATCTCTTTCACAGAATGATATTGAAAGGGAGTGTTCGCGAAATCGGTGAAATCCAGAATACGATTGATACTTTGTTTTTATATAATGCTGATGATAGTTTTATATATGTCTGACAATCAAGAGTATTCACAAAGATCACTGAATATTTTTTTCTCTTATTGTGGTCAATTAAAAATACATGTATATCTACACAAGACTTAGAAGTCCCAAAGCAAATTTTGCAATTGAAATTTGTCATAAAAACCTATTGAGGTATAAAAATGTTTCGAAGCGACGTATCGCATTTTCTGAAGACTTTGGTTGAAATGTGTAAGAGATATTTTGAACTCATGTGAATATATGCGTTTTTGTATAGTTAGAATTTATCGATGACGAAACATTGTGAAATCAATATTTATAATACTGATTTTAACAGCGTGGAAAACTCATCTAGCAATGTTTATATCACAGAACGGCTTGGACGAGAAATGCCCTACCATTCCACAAAATAGACAATGCATTTTTATATTATTTCAAAATACTCTCGTGTAACAGACACTTGTTTCGATAATAAATTTTTAAGTCATTAGTATAATAATAATTAATAATGTTTTTTTTATACTATGGAATGAAACATATGGAGATAACGAACGGTATTCAAGATCAAAGGTCCATAAAACAATACTAAATAGGGGCAGAGCAACACGGACCTCCAATTCATCGGAAGAGAGATTAGGTGCCATGGAGGAATGAGCATCCCCTGCCGACAGTCACACCCGCCGTGTGCTCTTTGTCATGATCGGGAAATAACGGAAAAAATCCTCGTCAATTCAGTGTATAAATAATGGACTAACAAATTTTTTGAAAAACGTCAGTCAGCATTTGATTCAATAAATTGTATTTGCTGAAAAGGTCATTGTATCGACTGTAGAACTTACGAAATGATAACTTTAATCGAGACCGCTGAAATTTTTGTTACATCAACTTTTTTGTCAATAATTTTTCTCGCTTTAGAAATTGTTCATGCGTAGAGCATGCTCTTGCGTATCGAATCAACTGAGATATATAAACTCAGTATGCAGGTGATGAAGGTATATTGCTGCATAAATAAGGGAAGTTGAGGATAGAAAAGTTAAAGTCATCATGTTTATCATAAAGCTTGGTTGTTAGATTACCATCAACATATTTTTCAAGTAAAATATCCAAATATGAAACAGTTGTGTCAGACTCTGTGGTATCTTTTATCTAAAACTCGCCAGGATATATCGAATCGACAGAAGAATGGAAATTACTAATTTTTATTGACAATACGTCGTCGATATATCTAAATGTCCAATAGAAGAAAAAATTATTACCGAAACAAATGCCTGTGGTTTATGTACCTCATAATCAACTGTTTCCATCCCGTGTAAATTCAATCAATTAAATTTTATCAGGACTACTCATGGCATCCGTCCAGTACATATAAAAGGGGGGGGGGGGCATCCTTCGCATGTATTTAAACACTCTTGATAATTTACTTCACATCCTTGTAAATCATAATCAAGTTCCATTTCTCGTTTCAAATATTTCATTTAATAAAGACTTCAATGAAATATAACAAAACAGTCAGTACCTCTATACGAGTCTAAGTCCTAGCTGAATTAACATCTCTGGCCTAATAAAATATAGTGGATTGCGGTGTCCGTGCGGTGGAGAAATTATACGCTACTTAATTTGTATAAGTTTACATTATTTTCTCATACCTAAGTCGCTAGTAATTTACAGTCAGTGATGTTGATGACGTAATATGATCTGATCGTTGTGATCGTTGTTGTGAAACTGGCGTTCGCTGCTCATATATATAACCTTCTATAATGGTCACGTGATCACAACAACCAATGAATAACTGTCCTTTCTGGAGCTTCTCAGAACTACTTTACGTACATTTTGTGTAATATACAAAGAAAATAACATCGCTAAAAATGTTCCTTTCTACATGTAAAGTAGGAGAGCTCTATAAATTCTATTCGATATACATAATAAAATAAGTTCAACAAACAATTTGTAATAAAACGGACACACACAATCCACGGCGTAGTAATACCGGACAATAATGCACACACATAAGTATTACGCTACACATTCAAGTTCCAAAACATTTCGTCAAATAAAACATAATTAAATGACAATACTGCAATAAAATAACATTTAACTATCAATTATAAGCATTTGATAACACGGACAGTGTTATTTCGATCTTATCAATTGTAAAACAACAATGTTTATGTCACATGACTACTTCCTTCGTAAGAAAGATGGCAAGCGCCCAATTTACAACACATGTGATAATGCTGAAATAAGTAAGTAAATTACAGTCGTAATATGGTAGATAATGATGAAAAACTGAGTATTATGCAAAATATTCTAAAGTCCAACCCCCATGCATATAACAATAGTATACAATGCAGGTCTAAATGAATGCAGTATAGATGGTAACTCGTTGATAATTGCCCTCTTGATTGATACCATGTACGCCTACATACCAATGAATGTTCGATCTGTACTTGAATTTATAACTCCTCACTTAATGGCTAAAGCATCGACTCAATATATACTGTAGGTTACAAGTGTCGCCAAAACATATAAATTCTGTTGTCAATTACAGACGGAACTGAGGCTCCGGCCCCTGGAGACGGTGTCGGAGGACTCTATTGCTGGAGACATCTCTGTCTCCAACATGACAATACCACATAGCCTACCAGCTCCAAAAAGGGCGATACAGATAGTTAAGAATTAATCAATGTTTTACAGACTTTCAAGAAACTAATTAAAAGACGTGTTCGGTTCTTGCTAAAGTTCAAGGAAAGTTGAATCGAGAATTTTGTAAAGTGATTCTTAAGCAAACAATATAATAATGAACACTTGGTATACTGTGAGCATTGAGATCACAAAATAATATACCACAGCCTCTCGTATGTTTTGTAATCAGCAAGGTGAAGTCCACGTTTTGTTATGGTAGACCCGAAATAAGCGTCAGATTAAAAAAGTAAAACAGGAGGTACACAATGGCACTATGTAATGAAGAATATGAAAGTATGATAATCATTATTTTTTTTATTCAGCGTTTTTGGAGGAATTGCAGATAAGAGATGTGTACCCCTCAATATTATATAGAAGGGATGGCAGTGTCTATGTTTTGCTTTGGTAAACCCGAAATGGTTCACAGTGACACCGTGTAACTAAGATTCTGTGGAGTCACATTAAATTCATTCAGTTGTACATGTACTTGGATGGTTAACTATTTATGAGCTAGCTGATCTGTACAAAAACCTAAAACATAACGGATGGAAGAACGGACATCCCCATCACTATATGCATATCCCTTTGCATTTCAACCGGGGATATGCAAGCGGAGGGTATAATGAGGAGCGTATGCATTGTACAATCATTCGATTAATTAAAGTCGAGACTTTTGATATCATTGACAGCCCCGTTATTAGCAGACCTATTTTTGTATCCATATGAAGCAGAATTTTCCAAACACTTATACCTGAAAAGAAGAAAACACTTGCTGTGGAATTCAATAGGACATTTAGATATATCGAAGACGTATTTATTTATCATTTTTGTCGATACTATATATTCCAATGAGCTTGAAAAACAAAGATACCACAGAGTCTGACACATCTGTTTCATATTTAGATATTTTACTTGAAAATGAAGTTAACAGTTTCCCTTTCTTATGCAGCAATCACAGGCCTTTAGATCGCTTAGGAAAAAGAATTGAGGTGTTGAAAAAAAAAAAATTACACACAATTTTTTTAAGCGATCCAAATGCCTGTGGCAGCAATATACCTTCATCACCAAATTCAGCAATCAATTTTATATCTCTCAGTTGATTCGATGCACAAGAGCACATATGAACAATTGCTAAAAGAAATTATTGACAAACAAGTTGGTGAGGCAAGAATTCAGCAGTCTCGTTTAAAGTCATCATCTCGGAATTTCTGTGGTCATACAGGGTGTGAAATGGAAATCCGTATTGGGCGAGGCGAAGCCGAAACCCAATACGGATTTCCATTTCACACCCTGTATGAATCCGTATTAGGTCACTAACTGATTTTGTTACGAATTTATCCCGCTGAAGACCTTTTTCAATATAAAAATAATATTTGTGCATATTATGAAAATATTAAGTTTTAATCCAATAACAATCAACATAAAATATCGTTAGGGTAACAAGAAGTTTAACTAAACTACCTACGTAAACGTTTCTTAACGCCATTTTTATTTACAAAAGCAACGCTTCGAACGTAATCGTGCGCGATTTTCATATTACTCCTTGACGGCGACGTAATTCGGAAAATCTCAGGGCGTCATGTGACCAGCCTTTATCCAAT